AGGACGCCCATGATTCTGGAGTGGTGATTGAGTATCAGGATTTGTTTTGTTTCCAGCATGTGCACACATGCACTCACACTCTTTTTGTGTTTTGGAAACTGAAGCACATCTGTATTAATTTGAGAAATACTTGTGGACTTTTAATTCTGCAAAATTAGGCCAACCTTCTGTTGCCTTGGAGTGCCAAGGATGGAGAAATCACGTGCAAGTGCAGCACAGCAGCCTGGGGCTCCGCTTCCGCATTCACCACGTCGCTGCCCTGCACGGTCTCTGAGAAATCTCTTTGTGAGAAGGTCTTTGTTCATACGTGCCTTTCACAAGAGAGGGTTTTCTACTGGAAATTGCATTAGAGTGGCACTGCCAGCTTTGCAAAGGGATGAGAGGGTATTTCAAAGATTAATAGACAGAAATGCATGATGGAAAAGAAAATCCCTATGGGATAGTGTCGTGGCTGAGCACTGCCTATGTGTTTTGTGACCACAGCTTTCATGCTGGTGCTCCCAGTGCTGCTTGGTAAATTAGTGGGTGAAGTCAGTGTCCACTCTGCTCTGTGGGAGGTTGTCAGAAAAGATGCTGACAGATTCTTTGTGTTTCATAATGACAAACTGCCTGATGCTTTAGGCTGTGATTTTTTTTAATCCTCCAGAGGACTGTGCTCTTGCTCTATTTACATACACCTGCTGATTTGCTGAGGGTTGACAAAGCAGAGAGGCTTGCTTTGCCTTGAGAATCTGCCTCCACGTTTTGGCTGACTTCCTTCCTTAGCTTAGCAAATGCTCTGTTGTTTACAGATGGCACAATAGATTCTTGGCCACAAAGCTGTGTTGAGGCTGTGAGAAACAGCCAGAAACTCCCCTGTTCAGTGTCATTGCCCAAATTATGGATTTTATTGCTCCCTGTTCACAAGAATTTGAGTTCACTTAATCATGTGATACATTCCCAGATAGAGGCTTAGTATTAGAGAATAAGTCTCAGCCTAGACCCATGGTTTCATTTCTAGACATCCTTTGTAAGAAAAAAATTAGTTATCATGTGTTGTTTGGAATAATTGATACCGATGGTAATAGCCTCACTTATTTTTCTGCCCCATTATAGGCGTGCTGATTTTAAGATTAAAAAAATATGTATATATATTTGCCTAGCAGCAACCATTTGCTCAATCTGGTAAATATGTGTTTTCATGTGGGTAATTTTGAAAATGTGCATTATGCATTTAATGGATCACGTCAGCTTTGCTGAGTTCTTTCAGACCTGCTAGATTTCTAATGAAAAAGGGCTTTAAAAAATTTTTTTTGTAAAAGGTATCTCAGTGCTTGTGTTGGCCACGGGGGATTTTTGGGGTGAGGATCATTGATCCAACCCACTAAAACCAGTTTTATAACCAGCTTCAGACAATCCATGGACTCATCAGTTGCATGAAAATCTTGCCAAATCATTTTGGTTTTAAAAGATTACCGGACATATATTCCAGCTGAGATGTTGACATGGCTCTTGCCTTACGTTCTTATCTTTCTCTTTCCAAATAAGCCACTTTATTTTTGTGCTGAATACAAACATTTATGTAAATTATTTTCTTAAATAGCTGCTTGATTAGAGACCAGGGGAAATACTTCTTATATGAGAATTTGACTTTAACTTTATTTTGAATATTATTAAGAGTAATAAAAACTAGAATTTTTTTTCTCTGAGACTTGTATTCTGAATTGTTTCTTAAAATATATATATATATTTTTGGTTGGGCCATCATAATATTTGTGGGAGGGTAATAACAAGAAGTTTGACTTGATAATAATTTTTTATGCTTTTATTTTTAAAATGAAATGAATCAGGTCAAAGCAGTACATTTCCCCCATTCTTATGGCAATGTGACATGGTGCTGTAAAAAATTTTAGTTCATATTACCTTTAATCCTTGCCATTCTCTGTTTGATAACTTTTTATGTAAAATAAACTCCAAGTTTTGTCACTTAATTTTGCAGTGCACTTTTCTGACTTTTTCATGAGTGAGTTTCAAGACACTGATCCTGCTTGATGCAGTCACCTGTTTTACAGATTCCTGGTCTTGTGTATTGGACGCTCAGTTATGAATCCATGACTTTGGATGAGCTTGAATTGCCATGGTAACTTTTCAAACAAAGAGAGGTGGCTTTTTATCGAGTAATAAGCAATTGTGGTAATCTCATATGTCAGATTTGAGGAGCCCTCTCATGGTAGCTTGCCCTTCGGGGCTGCTTTCCTTGGTCCAGGTGTGGGAGACCCCTCTGGGAAGACTGCCAAGATGTGCTTGGCAGACAGATGCCAGTGACTGAATCATTTTCCTGAATGTAACTTTGCAGTGAAAAAGGAAAGAACATAGGGTCTCTCCTTTTCTGGGAAGTTTTTTGTTTGTTTGTTTGTTTTGAGTTGGAGTCTCACTCTGTCGCCCAGACTGGAGTGCAGTGGCTGCTCCCGGCCACTGCAGCCTCGACCTGCTGGGCTCCGGCGATCCTTTCGCCTCAGCCTTCCAAGTAGCTGGAATTACAGGCATGTGCTACCATGCCCGGCTGACTTCTTGATTTTTTATTGTAGAGATGAGGTCTCTCTGCCCAGGCGGGTCTCGAACCCGCGGGCTCAGGCAACCCACTCACCTCAGCCTCCCAAAGGCGCGGGATTATAGGCTGAGCCACCGAGCCCGGCTTGTTTGTTTTTTTAATACAAGTTAATAGCTGCTTTATGTCTCATAGTAAGGGAGTTTGCAGTAGAGATTATTCTACTGATTATGGAAAATAATCTTTTTTCTTTTGGTAAAAAGAACAGTTGTTCATAGTCCTTGCTGCCTAAGCATATGCCATTTAATTAAGTTCTGTTTTGTTTTACCCCTACACTAATGGCAGCCATGAGTTCAGGGAATGTAGAAGTGAGTCCATTTCTCTGAGCTCACAAGATTGATAGTAATTGATAGTGTACAGTGCAGGCCATCTGACTGCCAAATGACTGAACAAGCACAGGGTGTGAATTGCTAATATGTAAAAGAAGGGAGATGCTTCCACTGCTTTACAGAGGAACAATGGGAAGTTACTGCACATGGAGCTCACTTATAACTAGCTCTAAGGTTGGTGTGTCCAGGAGCTGGTAGAGGGCTAGAGGAAAGAGAGTCTGGCACAGATGGGATGGAGGAGTGGAATGCAACCTCAGCAGGGTGGGGGGTGGTGGTGGTGGTGTGGGATCAGGCCATCGAGTGCAGTGTCACTAGAGCCTTGCAAAAGTAGAAGTCATTGGTTAGAAAATGACCTGTTAATTCCGAAGCCAACGGATACTGCCCAGGCTACGATGGCGTTATGTCAGAAAATGTATAGGAAGCGATACGAAGAAGGTTTTGGTGGATTGTGATTTGTGTTCAGATTGAGTAAGATGAGTGAATCATTGATACTCAAATTTGAAATACTGGTAGTGGGAACAGCAGGAGCTGGAACACAGAAATTAAGAATTTTGGATTGTTCAACATCATATTGAGTTTTTTCTGTTTTTGCTTGAATACCAAGTTAGGGGTGTGAAAGAATTAGCTATCATGGTGTTAAGAATGCTCTTACTTGTCTCTTAAGATGATTAGCATGTTAAATTGGTGTTGCCTGAAGGTTGAAGCAGAGTATTCGGTATCTGGGACTCTGGAACAAACTAGAAAGGCAGTCAATAGTTCATTCCTGAGTTACTATTTTGCATGGATTCAGGATCTGTTGAGTCTGCATCTGAGTAGAGAAATTGGCTGGGCATTCGAATTTCTTCTTTTTCTGGAATGACTTTTGGGTACAAAGATCCTGATATCCTGCAGAAAGTTTCTTGGAAGGGAAGTCTGTGCTCTTTAGTGAGGGCTTTCTTCCTGATCTGCCTCTTAGTGGGTCTGCTAGTGTTTGTGGCAACTGAAGTCCCTACTCCTGTGCTCTTTCTTGGCTCACAACACATGTGGCAGGGAATGTGCCTGTGTTGTCTAGCACCCAAACTATTCCAAGACATACTCATTCTGAAGGGTCAAAAGGAAGAATAAAGTGAACAGCATTTTAAATGTGGCATGTGGTTCCTCTTCCTAGGAGATTTGCTGGACAGTGAATATCTTTATTTCTCAGTAAATAATAAATAGATGTTCCTGTCCTGAGCTGTATGATGATCTTGGGTTGTAACATGGAGGGGTTTTACCTCTCTCTATAGTCACTGGTTTCCTTAAAACTATTGCTTTTTTTTTTTTTTTTTTTTAAAGTGTCTTAACATAGTATTTTAAAAAAACAATCTTTTGGACTCCAGCTATTATAAAAAAAAATCACCCAGCCACTACCATGTCAAATGTAATTTAAGAAAGTATTCTTCTTGCTTGAAGAAAATGTAATTTGGCTTACTTCATTCCATCTCTGATTGGCTGCCTTGGTTTTCTTTACAATTAGAAAACAAAATGTGTTTAAGTAATAATTTAATAGCAAGTTATCTATAAGAGATTAGATTAGTTTTCTTTCTCTTTCTTGGTTTAGGAGAAAAGGTCATTGTAATAGCATTTTTGAGCTAGTCATTTTTATATAATTCACTTATTTCCTCTCAAAATATTTTTTAAAGTAGCACTTGGCAGAGCCATTTCTCTTTGTGAAGACATGGCAACAACTTTCTCAAGATGTTCAAGATTTCTTCTTACTGTGTGATCTTGAGCAAGTAATTTCTTTTATCTAAATGTCTTCAGAATATGGGTAAACCCATGGGATCCTCCTCTTCTTCAAGGACTCTGAAGAAAATTATTAAGGCTTTATTAGATTCTTTAAATTATTAGAAAAGTGGTCTAAAAGAAGCAGAGGGCTATTTCCCTTGAACTTAAAAGTTATTTGTAATTTAATATCATCTTTTGAAAAGTATTTACTATAAAAGGTATGCGCTTTATCATTTATTTATTTATTTATTTATTATTTATACAGTGGCTTTATGGGCCCTGTCTTTGTTCCCTTAAAGATAAATGCCATTGTTTTAAAATTTCTTTTTCTTTTAAAGACTGTGTGTATATCGAGAGTCGGAGGCCAAACACACCGTATTTCATCTGTAGCATTCAAGACTTCAAACTGGTAAGCATTTTTTAATGTGCTGTTCATTCTGCCCTGCACCTTCTCTTTCCAGTTCCACTGACTGTCTCTTCTGATCTCCCTTCCATCGCTGTTGATGTGTTAGCCAGCCCACCTTTGAGTGCTGACTGTCTTGTGGTGGCAGCACTAAAACAAGGCAGTTTCTAGTTTCATCTCTTCAGTTTTGTAACAGGACTGTTATAATGCTCATATTGTAAACAATATTTCTAGTTTTTAATCCTTTAGTAGCTGCTTTGACAGTTTCAGAGACTCCCTTGAATGTCTGAAGTAGTTCGTCTCTTCTCAGTCATTGTTAAGAGCCTGAAGTAACATAAACTCAGGAATTGATGATACATAGGAGAAATAATATAAATAGGTCAGAGAATAGTTTCTGATGGAGAACTATAATTTGCTGAGATATTTGGCAGGTGAACTGGTTTTGGGGGGTCTCCCAGGGTTAGAGGTTGAGAGAAGGAAGGCTGGTAATGCTATTGTACTTTCCAATTTTGGTGTATGTGCTGCTAAAGCAAGCACATGCTACTGTGGTTTCTCACTGAAAACTTTTCTTGAGTATGTAAGTACTATTATTGCCCATAATGAAATCTCTTGATTTTAGACCCGTGGTTCCCACACTTTGGTCTTTTGATCCCTGGGAATGTCTGTAGAGATTTTGCAAAGGCCTGCAAATAAACATTTTCAGTCCTATATGAATAAAGTAAATCTCTCACACATCTGCACAACTGTTTTCAAGTGTGATTTTGAAATTCACTTAAGAGCAATACACACTTAAGAACTGCTATTTATTATGTGTTTTCCTCAAACTGATATGTGAAATGCTATTGTAGTAGTATTATTTGGGAAATTGTGAAACAGTTTACTCTTACAAAGGGATCTTAGTACTTGAAGATTGTGAACCACTGTTGGCGCTTTTAGATGGAGAAAATTCCTAATTCTTTAACTTTGCAGCATTGGATATTAGTATCTGTAAATGCTCTTATTTCCAGAACCCTTGGTAACTTCACGGTATTTATGTTCCTACCTTCATTGTATATGATATTTCATTCTAAGGAAATGTAATCTGAAAAAAACCTTTAACTCTGTATCTCCTTTGTTTCTTTTTATCATTTTTAATGAACCCCAAATTATTATATTCTGGTTTAGCTTAAAGATTGTGTGTCATTTTATTAAACAGCTATTGCATAAGTTAGTGCATACTTTCTGTTTTAAAGGAAAATCAAATGTGCTGTTTATGTCTACAGTTTTAGTGTTGGTATGCTGCTTTTAGGTTCCTTGGTTGCTTTGTAAAGTGGCCTTACAGTTTAATCTTGTAAATCAAATGCTTTCTATTCAGGATTTATGTCAGTATGCATTTTTACCATTTTAGAGGTCTTTGCTGTGTATTATATCTTTCCTTTTAAATACTTTTTTTTTGCAGATAACTGCACTGACACCTGAAATGTGGGCGGTGGCCTTGTTGCCCGAAGAGTTTTATTTTGGTAGTGGCTGCTGCTGCTGCTGTCTGCTCACTGTCCTTATGTCTGATTTTCACTAAACCAAATACCCCTACACCGTGGAACATGTGTAGCCATAAAATAAAATTGCAAAGACTTCCCTTTTACCTGTTAGATCTTGAGCCTCCTTTGTACAGTTTTTGCACATTAGCAGGTGCTTTCATGTTTGAACAGCTTCTCTTAGAATTGCTGATTACAATGTGATGGTTGCTGTTCTGGCCAGAGGTTTCTGCTGACTTACAGTAATTGCTCAGGGTATTAACAGCAATAAAAGCTGAAGCTTCTGTTGCCAGTATTGGTCTAGCACAACACACTCAAGCTGCCTGCAGAAACAGCGTGGGAAGGAGGGGCACTGTACTTAGGTACCTTTCTGTGAGTCACACACTGCTCTTTCCCATGTGTTTGTTTGAGTTTCTGGATTCAGCACAGCTTCATAATTGTTGTGTAATAATAAAAGAGATGATATATTTATTCCTAGAAGAAACACAGTTATTCCCTTTCTTCTTTTCCTGGTTCTCTATACTTAGTAAAAGAGAACCAAGTGATCGAAAATAATCAAGATCCCCCCCCTTCAGTTTACCGAAGCATTAAAGGGGAAAGGTGAACAAGGAAATATGCTTTGTTTCTCTGCAAGAATTTAAAAAGAAAAAAATGGAATTTGGTTTTGCCCACAGCAAATAACATGGCAAATGGAGCAATGAAAGAAACATAGCATTGCAATGTGGAGTAATCATATGCTTTATTTTTTTAGCTATCATAAAATAAAAAGTTGGTTAGAATTAATCACTTTACCATGGTATATTTTGGAGTATAAAATATATTTAGGAGCTGTAAAAAATAGCTGGGTGGATGCCCTTAATGGTACATGCTAGGTATGATTACAGTGTTCAAGATAACACAAGCTAATGAGTTGAGAAGTAGGGATGAGACGACGGCTGCCACCAGTAACGGAGACTAGCATGATGCTGCTTACTGTACAGAGCGTCCCTGGGTAACATTTCATAAACTAGTTCTAGATGAGATAAGGAAAAGGGTCTTTGTATTTTATGTGGGGATTGGGGTTGTCTTCCAGTCTCTGCTACTATATTCATTCCTTTAGAATCCGAGTCCATGGTGTAAAACACAGTGGCCTCTGTGTCCTGGTCTATGTCTATGCTCCTGCCAAGCCGTTACAGTCTCCCCTTTCACTCCCAGAATGTCTGAGTTTGCAAGATAGGCTATGTGGTTATCTTGCCTATGGGGATGGGATCCATGGTTTCAGCTTTATTAACATTTAGTCATCAAAACACACATGGACACTCCTATCCTACCCTGGAGCTATATTTAGAGCCCACACGTACACAGCGGTAGGTGGAGACCATGATCGTGCAGAGTAGTCAAGTTCCTAACTGAGCTGAGGTTTTTAAAGATAGCATTTTTAATGGTAGTGAATCATGTGTTCTCTCAGGAGCCACTCATTTGATTGGGCTTATTTACAAACTGGGAGATCTGATTTTGTTGGCATACATGGACCAAAGTATCTATGAGCAAGTAGTCAAAAGCAGGAGCTCAAGCCAGCAGGAGAGGTGAGGTGGGATTATGAACAGTGTATGTCTAGAAGCAAGAGAAAGAATGATCGTTGATTAGATAAGGCAGCTTTGACTATAGGTTTATGAACTAAATTGTAGAATAGCTGGCAAAACCTTTAAATAGCTCTTTGAAAGAATAGTAGTATGAAGTACCAGTCTGTGATACTTGCGGCCTGGTATCAAAAGATTGAGCCAGATTTCTTTTTTAGAATTTAGTGTTAGGAAACTGAGAGACTGAGGCAGTTAGCAGAGGGGCAAAGCTGAATGGTTATTTCAGGAATTACTCTTCATATATTCAGTTTAAAAAACATAAAAAAGATCTGCCTTAATGAAGGGATCCAGGTTGGGACAGGCGTAGGCCTGCTGCCTTGCTTGGTAGACCAGGAAGGAGCAGAGGATAGCGGTCTGGGGGCCGAGTGCATGCCTTTGGGACCCCGAGGCCTGCCGCCCTGGCGTTCTTTCCACTGCACTCTTAGATTGCTTTCTCTAGCTACCTCCTCTCTACTTGGGATAGCAGGAGTGGCTCTCCATTCACTACAGCTAGAAGAGCCCAGTATACTGTCCTCGGCCCTTTTTCCTGCTGCTCTTCCATAGCTTTTGTGGTCACTATGTGACTTAGCTTGCTTTTAGAGTTTTGTTCCTGAATGAGTAATGTAATCAAGGAGCATTATATCACAGTGTGCAAATGGGAATGTTTTGGACTGCAATCCATGCCTTCGACAGGTGTTCACTGAGTGCCTTCTTTGTTGAACTGGGCACTGTGTAGGGGGCTGAAGAAGTGTTAAATATCGTTTCTTCCCTCAGTGATCTTAGATGGTATATGGGATAGACAATTTGTGATCTTACTGGATGTTCGTCTCCTTTGGAGAACATTTTGAATAGGATTGAAAAGGAGAAAGCCTTTCACTTTTTGTTCTAAAAGACTGGTTTTTTCTTATCCTTGAGTTTACTAAAAATGATAAGATTCCCTTTTTATAGGAACCCAAGCGTTAAACATAATACAGGTAATTTGCTATCTAAAAATCATGGAGTCTGAGGATGGTAGCAAGATCACTGAGATAATAATCTTCATTTGACATAACATTAAGGAATTCCTTGTAGTAGTTCCTATATATATATTTTTTATTCACAGATAATATTCCGCATGGAAATCATGTGTGGATTTCTGCATTGCCATCATTCATACAATAGAAGAAAACATGCTTTGGGTTTCCTAGAGTTATGTAATAATAGGTGCTTCCTCTGTGACTTATACCAAATGAGATTCCAGGTAGTAGATATGACTATTACAAGTACTGTCTTGGGTTAATTCCCAATTGATTTATTTTGGTTCCTTAATTGGTTTATTAAAACTGGGAAAATTGTCCTTAAAATTAAGCCCCATCTTGAGATTCTGTGGAGCTGGGGATATGTTATTTAGGGATGTTAAGATATTTCCAGTGGACAGCTTGCTGGGCTCAGCGTGCTAGACTTGGCTCTGCAGGGCTGAGAGCTGTTGTGCTATTTGTGTCCCTGCCAGCAGGCTGAATGCTGTTGTGGATGTGGACTCGCTGAGGACACACACCACGAGTCACCTGGGAGAAGGTGCGTGCCTCTCCATCACTGCTGTGGATGTGGCGGCCATGTTCCTCATGTTAATAGCATGTTCCTCTCTCATTGTTTCATTGCCCATGGAAGCAGCTGGAGGAAGACATTTGAGACTTCTCTGTGATCCCTGGTCTGTACCCTTAACCCTACTTCAGAACCTGTTTGTTACCCTCAGCCTTCATTTGTGCCTTCCCTGACAGTACGACGACAGAAGGGGGGCTGCAGAGGAATTAGCTTCAGCTCAGGTTCCACTTGCCACCAAATTTCATTTCTTAGAAGTGGATTAAAAGTAACAAGAAGCTGTCTTTCCTTCATTATAATAAAACTTACTGAAGATGAGTCATTATTCTCATGTTTTTGTTAGAAACATATAATGCTGGGAGATAGCATCACATAGAGACTTCATTAGCATGCACTCTTTGTTCACATAGTCATATGCACACACACTGACTTAATTATCAAATTTATGCATTACACACCACAATTGTTGAATCCCAGCTTGACTATTGTGACCACTTAGTATAGAATGTCTGGTGTATGGACATTCAGGAAGTGGGCATTCGTTTAATATTAGATAAATCTTGTATTCAAGCCTTTTTTGGTGGGACCTGGGCAGGAAACCCACATAATTTGAATGTGACGAAAGCAGAATTTAGGATATGTTATTCTGGGACTGAGGTGAGGGGGGTGGTAGCTTGCACGAGTTCAGAGCTTGGGCTTCAACATCAGGTTGTCTGGACTCACATCCTTATTCCATCACTTGCTGTCTTTCATGACCTTGGGCAAGGCACTTACTCCTCTTTATTTACCTTTGAAGTTGAGATTGAAAGCACTTCCCTTTCCAGGTAGGTTGTTTTTAGATTAAAGATGAAACCTACAAAGTGTCTAGTGCAGGACCTGCCCCATAGAATGGCACTGATTGTGTTGTTGATGTTTAGTTGGTGCTCTGAGTTTATAGTTTGTAAGGATAGACACCATACCATGCTTTATTCACTGATGTATATACCATGTACTTAGCACATTGCTTGGCCATAATGTCCACAGTAAATATTTAATGAATACTGAATGAAAGTAGCATTTCAGTGGAAAAAACTCACTGGATTAAAAAATCTTTAATAAAGAAGGACAAGTGTGTGAACTTTGCAGCAACTTGGAGGGATTTAGATTCTATCATACTCAGTGATCTAGAACAGTGTACCATATGTTCTCACTCATAAGTGGACCTTCAATAATTATCATAGTATTATAAGAAAGGGATTGGCAGTAGTGGGAAACTTCCAGAGGAGCGGGGAGGCACACCTCATCAACAAGGGTACCTGCATAATGAACATTTGTATACCTAACCCTGAATTATACCCCATACCTCTAAAATAAAAAATTTAATAGTTAAATAAAAAATCTTTAGTAGCAGTTGTTTAATATATTGTATACACTAACTACAAATTAACTTTCTGTCTGCTAAACAAGCCGAAGGAGTATGCTCACCTTTGGTTAGCCTGCAGTGTTACTATTTTATGTATTGAAATAATAAAACTCTCTTCCTTTGAAAATACTTTAAAACTCAGTTTCCTGTTTTCTTTAGGGATTTTAAATGTAGTCAAAGTCATAATATTTTCTAGGCATCATTATATTCTGTTTTGAATTTCTATATGACTGACTTTTAGCAGAGATAAATGAGGGCTTAGTATATATGGAACATCCCACAAAGGGCCAACTGTGACGAAAAATGCCTTAGGGTATGATGATTTATTTCTGTGTGAAGCAATGGTTGTTTTCTGTTTTTGTTTTTGACAGTCCCTCAAGTTAGGCCTGCAGAATTGAGTATTTCTTTCTGTGGTTCCTTCTTGTCTTTTCTCTGTTGGTTTGTGCCCTAGGAAAAGGTCAGTAACACCCAGTTATACCTTTGGAACTTATGTGTAGTGTTGGATTATGAAGTTAAAAACCTTAGAGTTATCAAATGTTTTCAGTTTATAGCTATTATTTACACGAACTAAATGGCCTTTTCACATTTAAACGTGGAATTTATAATTTTGTTGAATACTTTAAGAATACAGGTGGGATGGAATTCCTGCGCCCTGAGTTTATTGAATACAGGTAGGATGGAATCCTGCGCCCTGAGTTTGATGGGCACAGTCAGAGGAGGAGGTTGTTGAATGTCCATATTCCCATGCCATCCCTACCTCCTAATTATGGAACAATGATGTTGAAAAATTTTTTGAATCACTGCACCCTTTTTGCGTGATGTCGATGTCAACTTCTAAATGGACAAAGTGGTAGCCATATATGTGGAAGTCAAAATAAGACTCTGGGAATAAATAACCTCCCAGCATCTTTCTGGCCTCGTTTCTCAACTTTCCAGAAGTCTGTCTTCACTTGTGGCTGACAGTCAGGATAGGCCACTTGGTATTTCAAGTTTCAATGGTTCATGATTGCTGTGAGGTTGGATAATTCATTTGATTCTAATTTAATTTGGTTTTAGGTTCTAAGAGGCAATTGAAAAAGTTTTGTATAATTATATGTATTTCCATAAAATATTTACCCCACAATGTTATTTTACTAAATTTGTTATCTATATGCGAAAGTTTTTCAATGCAAAATACTCTAGATATTTTTTTTTTTTTTAAAGACGCTTAAGAAAGTTTGAGACAGTCTGGTGTTTGCAGAGATCCACTGTGTAGGAGTGTTAGTCAAGTCTTGTTCAAGCTTGAGTTCTTAGAACTGGAATTTGTAATTCATATGTATATGTGGATGTTTGTATGAAGAACCAACTCAGCAGTCCAAGAAAAACCTAACTGAACTACTGAAAAAAATTAGAGAAACTGAGACACTGTCAACGTTTTCTGGTTTCTTATATAAGGATGGTGATATGCTTGAAAAAAAGTCTTTTTAAATACTCGAAATGTTTTAATAATTACTTGAATTATTTGTATGTTTAAAACAATGTCAAAGTGCTTAGAAATGCTTCACTAAATGTTTTTTTTTTTAATTTAAAATCTTTAATTTGAGTGCATAAAGATTTGAGTAGTCTGGTTGATTGAATTCCTGTGTAAGAGATTTTTTTTATTTTGATGCTTTATCACAACAAATGACTATTCTGTACATTGAAGTGCACAGTTGAATCTTTGATCTGGAATTTGCAATTCCAGGGGGAGGAGGAAAGCCTGTGGTAAGGAGATTATGGCTGCTGAAACTTGATGTCACCTATATTGTCCCTGAGGCCATGTGTATCAGAGACTGGCTACCCTGAAAGTATACTGTGTAGATCCCAGGATGCATTTTATGTGGTAATCTTCAGAGAAAGAAAATACAATGATCATGAGGAAACATTCTCCATAGTAGCTTATTTTTCTGGTATTTGTCTTGTGCATGGGGGACTGTGGGCGTTTAAAGGAGACCTACAAAGATAAGTAGATAATGAGGTCTGTTGAAATCTTGGGTTTTCAGAAAGTTGCTAGAGAGTGATTCTTTGCTTTTCAAAAGGAATTATGTGTAATAGGGCCCTCTAATAATGGTTTAATATTTAAAAAAACTCAAGAACAGAGGTTCCTATATAAGTATTTAGATTTTAAGGATTTTTTAGTTCATTTAAAACCACATGAAATTGGATTGGCTAGTTTTAAAAAAATATTATGTGCATTCTAAAATATTTGAAAGGAAACGTAGCAAACCATAACTTGAGATATCTTTTTTGATACATGTGAAGACTGCTGGCTTTCAGAAGTTGCTCTCCATTTTTTTGTGTGTATGCTGGTTTTAAATGTTTTCAAAATTTAATTTTAAAAAACATGTTTTCCATACTAAACTGGTTTTGCCTATAAAAATAAGTAATATCTTTCTTGAACACTTTATGCTCTGTGCCTGTCCATTATACTTACCTTGTGGGCATTTTGAGAAAATTATGACTCATTTGAATGCTGTTCTCTCTCTCTCTCTTTCTTTCTTTAGGCCTTTTGTCTGTTTACATTGCCTTAAGCTTTACAGAATTAAACTTGAACTTTGAGAAAATGGCAGCATCTTTCTTTGATTGCCCTGATGCCTTGACTATTTCCTTAACAAGTCTATGTCTTATGCCTCTAGCATCTCTCATTAGAAACTCTTCTGAAAGCTCAGTTTGTCCACTTGTGGTTCATTTTACAGTTGTGTTTATCTGACACCATTGCATTTTTGTTTTTATTATAAACAAAGCATGCCACTGTTAACTGTGCTTTGGCATTGTGTCACGTCTAACTTGGTTATTTTGAGGGGCACACACCATACTGCTTTATGACAGGACCCAGGTTACAGATTACAGTGTGGACCCTGGAGGGTCATATGTTTGTTTACTGAAATAAGGAAACAGCTTTGATTGATGCCAAAAGGTTAACTTTAGTGGTAAAACAAGTTACCTGAGGTTTCAGAGGCTGTCTGCTGAAGGATTTGTGCAGATGCCTGCTGTGTGCTGAGTGCCCCTGATAACCAGGGTGTGAGGAGGCGTTGGGCACGTTAACTTAAAACTGTTTTCTTTTTTAGGTCCACAACTCCCAGGCCTGTTGCAGATCTCCAACTCCTGCTTTGTGTGACCCCCCAGCATGCTCTCTGCCGGTGGCATCACAGCCACCACAGCATCTTTCTGAAGCCGGGAGAGGGCCTGTAGGGGTAAGGAGAATCCCGTTTTTAAAAGCTATCAGTATTTTATATCCCTTAGGGTATAAAATAGGAATATTATCTCCCTCCCCAGAGCCCCTATAAAAATGTGCTGTATTGTATGTGTTTTTAAAGGAGTAACAAGTACATGCACAGAGGAAGCAAAATACGGGACTTGCCTTACCCCTCTAGGACAGTTCCAGGAGCTAGTGGGGGTCTGGTGGAAGGGGACTTGGGCACCAGCAGAGAGCATGCTGGGCTGCTGCAAGGAGCAGGAGCTGGCAATCAGCAGCGAGTATGGATGTTGGCAACTGAAATGGGGGACATGGGGGTAAGTTTGAGTCCAAGTGTGGAGTACATTTCCCCAGGCCCATTGGGACTCACGGCCCACCAACCTAAACTGTCTTGGGTGCTGTCCTCTCAGGCAACATTTGGTAGCGTTTTACTTAGAAGGAGGGAGGCTTTTCTGCAGTATTAGATTTAGAATAAGTGTTTCCAAAGGCGGCTTGGGTTGGGATGTAGTTGTCCTTCCTCCAGCTGCACTCTAGTGAGGCCTATGACCTGGGGGAGGGCGGTGATGGGGGCTGTGTGGAAAGAAGCAGAATGAGGTGACTGTAGTGCTTTACCCCTGAGAACACAGGGGCCCCATGGGGTGACCTATGGGGGTAGTTCTGTGTAGTGTATCTCCCCTTTTAGGAGTGTATACATGTCTTCCTGTAGGAGGATTTAATGGTAATGTTTTGTGCAAGACGGGTATTTATTGTTCTGAGTGACTCCTGGGTAACAAAGACTTTTGTTCATCATTAAAGAAGTATAATTTTAGTTAATCACTAAAATCAATGTAAAGAAGAGTCTGTGGACTCCAATTCATATTGAATTAGAAAATAATATCAGAATAGGCCCCCCATACAAAAGATACTGTCAATATATGATGAATTGTTCAGTTGTAGTATAGAATATTGTCATACTGGGGCTAAGAAACAATGTTCCATGTGGGCTGTAGCACTTGGGGAAGGTAGGTAGGTTTTGAGGAGCTGGTTGTGTTTTTGACACATCAGTAAGATGTGGATAGGCAGAGTGGAGGAGCCTTCTGGGTGTATGTGGCACCTTGTTCCTATAAGCAACACAGGCAGTGAGCCTGGGAGTTGTGAGAAGATGACCCGCAGGACATCACTGAAGAGCACAGGTTAGTGGGTCTCTGGAGGCAGAGGTGGAGATGCAAAGTGGGCCAGAACACAAAAGGATTGTCAAGGTGGGAAAGTAAAGATTTTGTGTGCTCATCAGTAGAGAGCTTTTACAGGCTTCTAAATTCCAGACAAGCTGACTTGCAAGCCACTTCTTAAGAAGATGAACTGGGCCGCAGTGTGGAGTGGGGATCGATAGTGAGAGTCACCACAGGAATCCAGGGCTGCTGTTCATGGATAAGATGCAAAGGATTAATAAGGCAGTGGTGATGGGGATAAACAGTTGCAACAGAATCAGGAGTAACTGTTGCAACAGCAATATAATCTTTGTATAGCTGATGGTACGATGATTCAAGAATTAGACCAAATAGGGATATCATATTATGGAGGCCTTGGAATTCTTTAAATAATAGCCATTCGCAGTGGAAGATAGAACCCATTGTAATGGATAAAAATCTAATTTTAATCCCTGGAGAAAGAGACTGACATCTTGAGGGACAAATTGGTAGAGTCCCAACTTGACTACCTACTTCTAAAGCTTTAGACTGTACCAGCTACTGTCTTGTTTTTCATATATATTTATGTATAAGAAATTGATTTTCTCTTTCAGGCTGGTATTTTCGTGCTTCATTCTCTAATCAACGTGGATGTCATTATTAGACTGTTTACCACAGTATTCACTAACTAGGATTTGTGAATGGATTTTAAGTTTGCCCCATAATAGCATTGCTTTTTAGTAAACTTTTTTTAGTTAGAACTAGTGATGACTAGTATTTACTTTTAGCTGTAAAGGGATTTATGCCCACTGAAGATTCTAATAAGTTCACGATTGGTGGGCACTCGGATACAATATATGTAGGTTTGAGAAGATTCTGTAGTAAGATAAGTCTTCTTTCAGTCAATATGATGCTGCATAAAGCTAACTGTATTGATTGTTCTTTAATGACGCTTTATGTTGCCAAAGTCATTTGAGCTGGATCTGAATCGGATCCAGTTGGCAAAGCTCCCCCCCCCCATGTGTGGCGCTGTCATAAATTCTGCAGGCACACGGATCTAATACAGTGTAATGAGAGAGCTGCTGGGAGAAAAAATTGATTACAGGGTTGTAGACAATATCATTAACATTTCTTGCCACGATACACCAGATGTCTTCCCTAATAGACTATTTTTGTTAGTTTTTATAGGATAACATTGATTGCATCACAGTGTAACTTTTTTGTGTGTGCATATTCAGGTATATGTAATCTGCATTTCCACATTAGTGATGCAATAAACTTAATCAGTTTTAATTTTATAATTTTTGACTTATCTGTTCATTTTTATATCTGTGCTAGAGAGCCAATATATTTACTTGTTACTGAGAGTCTGTCAGCTTGGATGTTTTCTAGTGAAAAGTACTGTCTTCACCAGCAAGGGTAGAGTAGTGGGGGGAGATAAGAAGGCAAAGATAATATTGTCCAGACCCCTCACCCCCGACTCCCCACCCCACAGGTCAGAGGTGATTCCACCCCCCAACCAATTTAAATAGAAACTTTACAGCAGCATGGCAGATGCCCTAGTCAAAGCAGGAAAAGTGCAGCCTTCTAAGGGGGCTTCAGTACACCTTCGTGTCCATGGTCAGGTATGTGGCTCTGCAGGCCAGGGTTCATGCTGGTTGCACCCATTCCCTTCCTCACCTGGAGACCCAGAGCTAGTAAAGGTATTTAGTTATTTAGCATCTTTATTTTTTTAGGCATATCTTTTTATGTTTTTGACTGTTGAGTGGCTAACACATAATTAGCACAATTTTGTAAAAGTGGTTTGAGCTATTTTATTTCAGTAATTTTTTTTTAATTGTTATTTTTGTTTTTGGTGCATTTTCCTTTAGGGAACTTTTTTTCTCTTAACATGTTTCTCTGTAGCATAGGACATGTTAATTAACCTTCTTACCCTCAGTTTTCTCACTTATAGAATGAGTATAATACTACTGTGTCAAAGAATCATTGCAAAAATAAAATAATTCATTAATTAGCAATGTACATAGCATATGACAAACATACATTAACGTTATCTGTTCTTGCTTAGGACTTTTGATTGATATAAATTTGGGTTTTATGTAATTTATTCGTTTTCTAGACTTTTTTTTTTTTTTTTTGAGTTGGAGTCTCACTCCTTCACCCAGGCTGGAGCACAGTGCCATGCATGCTCACGGCTACCCCAGCCTTGACCTCCTGGGTTCCAGCGATCCTTCCACCTCAGCCTTCCAAGTAGCCGGAATTACATGCACTACCACACCCGGCTGATTTTTTGATTTATTGTAGAGATGAGGTCTCGCTGCCCAGGCGGGTCTCGAACCCGCAGGCTCAGGCAATCCACTCACCTCAGCCTCCCAAAGGCGTGGGATTACAGGCTGAGCCACCGAGCCCGGCTCTAGACATTCTTAAATCTGATATCCATGGGATCCTAGTTGATCTTTTTGGGGGTCTGTGAACTTTTGAAATTTGTTTGCAAAGTCTTATGTATATATATGTGCATTTTTTTGGAAAGAGGATCTATACTTTTTGACTACGGATGCTAATTAGTAGAATTCTAAGATGTTGAAAATAATTTTAAAATTAAGAGTAAAAACTGCTACTCTGGAAAGATGCTGTAATGGGTCATTTAAAACCTCAGATCAACTCTTTGTTAAGGAAGTTAACTAATGTTCAGCATTTACATTGCACCCAGGCCCTCTGCTGCTCTTTTCACATAGTTTAAACCTATTTAATCTTTTTATTAATCTGTGATGTTTCCTCCATTTTTCAGAAAAGAATACTTTAGACTATTTTTTCTTTTTCTTTTTTTTGAGTCAGACTCTCACTCTGTTGCCCAGACTGGAGTGCATGCTCACAGCTACCACAGCCTTAACCTGCGGGCTCAGGTAATCCTTTTGCCTCAGCTTTCTGGTAGCTGGAACTGCAGGTACATGCCACCATGTCCAGATAATTTTTTGATTTATGGTAGACATGAGGTCTCGCCAGGTTGTCCAGGTTGGTCTCGAACCCCTGGGCTCAGGCAGTCCTCTTGCCTCTGTCTCCCAGCGTGCTGGAATTACAGCTGTGAGTTACTACACCCGGCCTAGGCTCATATTTGCACTAAAATCTTGCCTTTAGTGAGTGGCAGGACTTAGATTTAAATCTGGGGAACTCACCCTAGTCTGGGTCCTCTTCACAGATCACATGGCTGGCTGACTTCTAGGAATTCTGGGCCAACCTTCAGTGTGGCCCACCTTTGCCACCATTTTGTTTTTGTTTTTGTTTTGAGTTGGAGTTTCACTCTGTTGCCCAAGCTAGATAGAGTACAGTGGTCTGATCAGGCCTCTCTGCAACCATGACCTTCTGGACTCAGGCGATCCTCCCATCTCAGCCTCCCAAGTAGCTGGGATTACAGGCATGTGCCACCATGCCCACCTAATTTTTTTGTTGTTGGCAGAGAGAAAGTCTCGCTATGTTGCTCAGGCTGGTCTTGAACTCCTAGGCTCAAGTGGTGCTCTTGCCTTGACCTCCCAAAGTGATGGAATTACAGGTGTGAGCCACTGCGCCAGGCCACCACCACTTGATCAGAGAGTTTCTGAGCTAATCTGTGGTTTTTCACTTGGTAGAGTAGATGTTATACAAGTTGGCCTTTACCCTGCAAAAATGAACAGTATCAGTAAATTTCATTTTCCTGCTAGCAGTGATGGTAGTTATATTTTTAGTGTCCTTTTAAAAAAAAAAAAAAGATCAACAACTACTATGAATTCCCTTTTCAGGTATCTTAATAGTATCTGTATACACATCAGTATACAGGAAAATAGTTCCTGTAGTTTGT